GGGAATATGTCCATGCATGTCATCTTAGCTATGACAGGAAGTATAAATAGGGGGATCATGGTCTAAGTCAGTCCAGGCAAAAAGATTTATCTAAAAAATAACCAGAACCATAAGGTCTGGAGTTTTGGCTCAAGTGGTAAAGTACCTGCCTAGCAAATGTACAACCCCAAGTTCAACCTTCAATACTTAAACATAAGATATTTTTGCTAGATATAGAATGAATTGTAGATGTATAAGATTGGCACCAAGAAGGCATTTACATAATTCTAGACAAAAATTACAGAGCCTTTGATTTGAGTGCTACCCCTTGATTTATCACTAAGATATTCAAGAGAAACAATTGAGGGAACTGGAGATGTATATATGCAGGAAGTGGGGGAGAAAGATGAATCTAGGAAGAAGGTTCCTGAATCTTTGTTATGTCGGGAACTTATTTATAAGTAACCAAACTCCTTCATATCTCTCGTATCATTTACAAGTATGTGTCCAGTGTTCATGCAAAATAATGTGTTTGTGTGTGTGTGTGTGGTATGTGCATGCATGTGTGTGTGTGTGTGTGTGTGTGTGTGTGTGTGTGTGCACACTGGTACTGGACCTTGAGCTCCAGGCTTTGTGCTCTTACTGTTACTCTACCACTAGAGGCACAGTTCTATTTCATTCATTCTTTTTGTTGGTTAATTGTTTTTGTTAAATATGTTTTTTATTGTAAAGATACTGTACAGAGGGGTTACAGTTACATGAGCAAGGTAATGAGTACATTTCCTATCAAGTATTGTTGCCTCCTCCTTTGTTTTTCCCCTATCATCCCTGCCCTCCCACCTTCTCAACTACACTCCCCTCCTTCTTCCTCCCCCCTCTCCACTTAAATTGTAAAGTTCGTTTTTCAAAATTGTATCTTGTACATCTCATTGTTACAATAGGTCAACCGATAAGCCTCCCAATGGTTTTGTTGGACTGGGCTCGTTTCAATCTTCATCTTCAGATCTCAGCCTCCCAAGTATCTAGGATTATAGGTATGAGCCACCTTTCTCCCAGCCAAAATAACTTTCTAAAATCACTTTGACACATTTCCTGAATCTATTACTAAAACCAGTAAATCTATTTCCTTCAAGTGAAGTCCATCTTATCTAAAGATTGTTCCCAAGTCTTAGTTCTGCTATTGTCTCTAATCTAGAGCTACAGCTCCTTTATTACTAAATCAATAGGATTCAAGTTCACTCCTTTTATGGATAAACTGACTTTGACTCATCATTTCACTCCTCGGTCCAGTCTGTATGAAAACTTGAGTTGTATTAAGATTTTGACTGGGCATTAGGGATTTGGGGAAGTATATTATGGGTCATGATAATCATCCATATACCTACTAACCCATCCTTCTATCCCTTCCTGTACTCTCTATATACTTGAATCTATCACATCCCAGACTGCCTCAGGAATAGAAACTCTCATTCACAGGATGAACTTGCTAATGAATTGGGTGAGAGAAAATTGGATAGTAACAGATAGATAAAAGAGAAGCTTCAAAGATTGTTTAATAAAAAGGTATAATTGGGGGAGGGAAGGAAAAATACAAATTGTTTAAATAGGGATACAGGTGGACCCATTGCAACAATAAGATGTATAAGACATTATGTCAAAAAACGAACTTTACAACTTTGGCAGGGGGGGGCGGTGGGAAGGGGGAGGAGATGGGAAGGGAGGGGAAGGGGAAACAAAGGAGGAGGCAACAATGCTTGATAAGAAATGTACTCATTACCTTGCTCTTGTAATAGTAACCCCTCTGTACTGTATTTTCACAATAAAAAATTCAAAATAAAATAAAATAAAAAGGCATAACCAAAGGCTTTCATTCAACTGTAACGAACTGACATCTTGTGACATCTTGTGTTTTGACCACAGTGACAGTCTCACATCAGCTCCTGGCTATTACAAGCCACTGTTTCCAAAGCAAGGAGAAAGACCTTTGAAATATCTAAAGCTGCTCAACTTTTTCCCATGCTTGAGCTCCCAGCTTTTTTCCATCACATTTTAAGTAAAATCCACATACTTGTCCACAATCTTGCAGGGCTCTTCCTACCTCTACAATTGCACCTGTTTCCAAGTTCCCCTTGGTACTTCTGGTAATGCCTTCAGGAATTTCTTCCATTCTTCTTTGAAGCCAAGATTTTCCAGTGTATGCTTATGTAGTTTTCTCTGATGGGAATCTATTTCTTGTGAAGCCACCTCCATAGGGAGATCTCCAGTGTATTAGTTACATATTTATTATGTTTTAGGAAACAAGTAAAGCATAAGGTCAATTCTTTTCCCTACTGTATCACAGATTTCACCCACAGATCCTGGCATAGTATTAGTTTCTATTACATATTTGTTAAATGAGCATCCATTTTCCCCTGAATGATAGATGTTATACCTCTATTGATGTAAGACCTAAAGAAGTCAGCTGACTCAGACAGGGTTAGAGCCTGGGTATCAAAACAGATTCTTCGCACCATAGTTCTGATGGAAGGCAGGGGGTCTGCCTCTCCAATCCCTCAGGACCTCCAAAAAAGGCTTTTAGCCAAATTCCACCAAACTCCATTTTTCCTGCTTCCTACCTGTACTACCATTACCCCCAAAGCATCAGGGTTAGTAGCCAAATTCTCTAGGCTGCGATGCATATTGCTCAGACATAATAATGAATCCAGAGTTTACTTCCTAGCATCCTCCAGTCATTTAGGGTGAAAGGTTGAAAGCAGCAACTCATCCCATGACTGCCTACTTCTATTCTGTAGAATGGTGTAATTATGTCTGAAGAAATTGGTCAATAATGGAACACTTAATCAAGTCAGTTATTAGCCCCATGGAGCCGAGGGAAAAGCATATGTGACTAACTGCAAGTAAAGTCAAGAAAATTGGTTTATGAGTAAAAGCTGAATCTTTATCATGATGTGTAATTTTACTGTGTGAGCAAAACTGAATTCCAATAGACAAATACTCAGAGCTGATGTTTGTGGCTATTTGGGGCCAGTTCACTATCAGATGGGTGCCTCACACACTCATGTTTGGCTGGTGGAATTAATCAGAAAATGTCTTATTAAAAGCTTAAATTGGGGGGGGGCGGTATTCTACCTCTCTTATATGCACTTGAAAATAGTACCTTGTGTATGATATAAACCATAAATTGAATGTGAGAATGTTCTATATATTTCTCTTTCTCCCAGGATGATAGCCACCTAGGTATTTGTCATTTGAATATATTTTTAAATTTTATTTTGAATGTTTCTTTTCTATTTCTGTCCTTCCTTCTTCCCTGTCTTCCAATCTTTTTCTTTTGTTCTCTGTATTTCCTTCTTTCTCCCTTCTCCTTCCCTTCCCCCACAACTTCCTACTCTTCTCCTCTTCCCCAGTTTCTACCCCCTGTTATCCTTACCCTTCTAAGTTAGAAAAAAACCTTAATGTGTGATGAAGTGTACATGTATGGGGTGTAATGGTGAGAAACAGAGGCTGCATTGAGTGGTTGGAAGCCTGGTCTTATATAGTCTTTTTAAGAAAAGGAGTAAACGTCTTTCCATTACATTTTTGCACATGAATTCACACTGTAAATTAGACCCAAAGTAGTAGCCAGGAGTTTTGATTCTGGCTGACATTCATACACAAGAAAGATCATTTTTAATTAGCATATTAAATTGGTACAAATGACAACAGTCCAAATGCTTAACCTTTTTGTAACTCCCTCCTCCCAAATTACAATTCTTTGTCTCCCAGGCTAGACTTTGGATGATAATGAGATATGAACATTTGTGGTGATTGAGATCAAATGGGATGTCACTATTATTTTGAGATATGTGCCCAACTACCTGGCCAATCACTTACCTGGTAAGTTTTTTTTTAGCATTTTTTTATTGTGATTGATTACATAAATTTCACAGTATTGTGGGATAGTGATACTTAAAGTCACAAACACAATCTAACCTTCATGGGACAAATTGTCTTTATCGTGGTCTATAAAGTTTATGAGTTCTATGAGCTTTGACAATACAGTTATTTCTTCCACATGGGATGATATGTACATTACTTTCCTTTTGCTTAGAGTCAGCTTACCTGGTAAGTTAAATATTCAGAGAACTTTGTTGATCACTTTCTTTGTAGCGTAGATAAGACCTTTGTGAACTAGACTCTCACTCACATGCCGACCTCTCTTCCCCAATGTTCACCTGGTATTTTCACTTTTGCCACATCTTCTCACACCTCCTTTCAAAAACCTTTATACTCAGGATTTCAACATCCCCTTGATACAACTGCTGCCTCTAGATACCACCATACTATGAGTAAATGTGAACGCAACTGACCCTAGTTTACTAATCAATACCTTTACCACTTACCAAAGGCACTCCAAAACCAATGCTCAGTGAAGGTTTAAGGAATGAGACAATCGTTGGGGCATCTATTTATTAAGATGAAATTTTACCTACATTCATTAGCAATAGCCAAGCAAATCCAAGCCAACATATATTTGTTTGATGTTACAGGTAGGACAAAAGAAGAAGGGCAAGCAATAATTATTCATTTTTCCATCTGTTTCACCAAAGAGTTCTTTCCAAGGTATTTCCAAGGAAATACCTGCTCCACTGCTGTGTTAATCCATTCCAAGTTAAAAAAAACAACATGGTTTCCCCATTAACAATTAAAACAACTCAATCCTAAACTATATTAACAAAAATAAGTATGTGACTATTGTCATTCATAACCTTCCATTATAAAGTAAATAAACTCAATTAAAAGAATTAATAAATTCCAAAGACAACCAGAGTCAACTTCATCATAACCCAAACAACGAGGACAAAAATGGTACATAGTATGTTCCTCTCAACTACCTTCGGGCTCTACTGCTGACAATAATGACTACATTCTACAAACACAGAGGGAACAATGGACTTCATGTGTCATGGGGTGAGAAATGATCATGAATATGGCCCTGGCCCTAGAACACTACTTTGTGCCCCAGTGGGCCTGATAATACCTTAAGCCTGGATGCCCTCCTTCTCATCTCTCAAAGCTTTTTCATACAAGTCTGAGAGGGACTTTGGATCACACCCACTGAACTTGGCCCAGTGTTTTAGGACTTGCACCCTGCTGGTTTCTGCATGGGCCCTTGGGCCCCACAGGAACTCATAGCGAGCAAGAACAGTGTTGGGCACCTTCCAGTACTCCAGGTACTGTTCCCGCACAAAATCTTCAGTGATTAACTTCCTGGGATTACCATAGAAGTAGTGCAATAACCCGGGACTCACCCCTATCACACTCAAAGATTCCCAGACCACCTCTTCAGGGGCACAATTGCCCTCTATGAAAATGACACCCAGGATCATTATCAGGAGGCCCGTTTTAGGCATGCCCTGGACATCACTAATTATCCTATCATATGTAAGCCCTAAGGAAGTGACAAGGATGTAGGCATGGTGGGTGGGATCCACTTCCTTCACCTCAATGCCAAAGACCAGCTGCATTCTCTCAGAAGCATTGTTGAGGATCACAGGGAAGTACTCGTGATGACTTCTGATCACATGATTCAACATTTCTGCCTTGGTGGTGGGCTCCTTCATCTGATACTTGAAAAGCAAGAAGGGCACTAAAGATGCTGCATGTTGCAGCGAAGACACAGGGCCGAAGACATTGCCCTGGGACAATAGATCTTCTGATCCTTGGCTACTAGAGCCTTGATTCAATTTGCTCTGTGGAGTGGACACCAAATTAAGGCAGTGAGAGGAGGCACTCAGAGAACTTTGTGAATCATGTAGTTTCCTACCCTCATTCACCTCCTCTGAGGTAGCTGGGATGAGAGGAATGGAGGAGGCTGAGGCTGTGGCAGTTGCCTCCTCCACCTGAGACACAGGGACCAGCTCACCCATCAGTTGTAGCATCCCTCTTTGGGCATGAGGAATCCCCTCACACTTTCCCTGTTGGGTCTTCTGACTATAAGGCATCATGGCTTTCCTTGGGTACAGCAGGCAAGAATGCCAACAGCAACTCGGTGGTAAAGGACTCACAGACCTGGGGAGAGAGGGACTCAGCTGAAAATCATACAATTGGTGGCTCTCATAACAGACTATTTAAAATACGTATTAATAGACTTCTCTTGGGGGAGGTGTTCTAGGGCTACCAGAGTTTGTGTCTTGCTAATGAGTTTGTCTTCTGAGGGCCTAAGGAGAAATTAAAATGCTGTCTCAGGGTGCGCATGTAATCTTACAGAGCTTAAGGCTCTAGGGCTGCCTGTAGGGCATATGGGGCTGGGAAATATGGGGTTCCTTGTGTTCTGGGGTAGTGGGGCACTTGGGACATTCAGAGTAGGTAGCTCACAATGACACCTGATCCTCTCTGGGCATCGTCTCCACTGTGACCCGAAGACACTATCTCACACCAAGACCATCATCTCTTGGTGATTGGAGCTGGTGGAAGATGTACCTAACAGCCCTCCCTCCACCAAGCTGCGGTTTTCAAGGACATCACTGAGTCTCTAGCACGGCAGAAGGGGTGGGATGGATCTCTGAGGTTTACCCTTTTCTGAGGTGGATGGCCCCTCTGTTCTCACTGTGGACCCTTACCTCTCCCCTGTCAAAATCTGAGACTGTGCCTCTCCCTCGCCTGAGGCCAATTCTTGATTCACCTTTCATAGATGGACCAAAACACAGTGAGGGGGCCTCACATGTGGGTACACCTGCCCAGGAACAAATGCTAAGATCTTCAACTCTCCCTCTGATCACCTGAAGACAACTTTCTTCAGCCAAAACCCTATTTCAGTGAGACAGTAGTAAAAGGAGTATAGGAAAATGGTCCCACTGTCTTTAGGTACTCCACAGTTGATGTAAAGGGAAAATTGGGGTTGGGATCTCATATGTGTGAGAGGTTTCCTCTCTGTACTCACCTTGACCCTCACAGACTAGACTGTGGCAGACCTTGGACACCTCCGTCTGCTGACTAGCCAGGGCTCCTTCGGCTCTCTTGATAACTTCTTTCACTTCAAGGTCTCACCCTCCTGAGATCTGGAAGACAAAAATGAAGCTATAATCCTTGTGGACACCGCTGCAGAAGTTTCCCTAGGCTGACTGAAGGGGTCCTCTTTTCATGTTTACAATAGGCCTGGTGGTTTTAACTCTGATGATCTGCAGGTCCATCTTGCAAACCAAAGTCACCGTATTTCCCTGACCCTCATCAGAACTCTGAGTAGGAAGCCTGAGGCAGCATTTCTTTCTTATTCTCCTACCTGGAGCCCCAAGGCTGACATATGAGGATGATTTCCTAAGTCTTAGATGCAATATCTTCTTTATCTTGCAGCAAGATCCTGTTGATCACAGGCCACAGTGCTCATGACCAGGCCTACTCCTTCCTGATACCCCAGAGGCAGAAGTAAAGGTGCCCTGCATCTTATCTTTATGCCAGGGCTCCAAGGACTGGAGAGATTACAGTCTCTTTAAGCAAATATGTTCCCATGCTGAGTACAATTGTTCATGCTTATAATTCTTTTATTCAGTAGGCTAAGATGAGTAGGATTGCAATAAGAGGCTAGCCCAAGCAAAAATGCTCATGACACCTCCATCTCAACCAATAAAAAGCTAATCATGCTGGTATATTCTTTCCATCATAGCTATAGTGGGAAGCATAAATAAGAGGATTACACCTCAGGGTGACTTGGAAAAATGTGAGATCCCATACAAAAAGTAACCAAAGCAAGTGATAGAGCACCTGCCTAGCAAATGCAAGAACCTGAGATCAAACCACAGTAATTTTGTATGGCTTCTCCTTCCCAGCATTCAAAACTAAATCAACTCTCAAGCCAAGTATTAACTCCTGAACAAAAGGCTGTCAGTGACTGTGTGTTATAAATTAGTACCCCATGATCATAACCCCAAATAATATTTGGTTTCTCTGTTTTATCTCCCATATGTCACCACAATTATCTAAAGTTATTTTATTTGTTGGTTTGTTTTTCACCTGTTTCTCCAAACTACATTTGCCACTTCATTGTACTAAGCCTCTCCTCACTAACACTCTGTTACCAAAAGCAGTTAGGTTAGCCATTAGCAATCACTGGATGAATTTGTAAACACTTAAATGATGTAGACCTGACACATCTATCAAGTCCATTTCAACTTTAATCTTATCACAGGGCAAGAGACTCAGAATATAATGGTACAAATACTATGCAGTGATACTGAAAGTCTAGACTACTTATTCCCCTACTAGCAAACGCAGGAATTCACTCTATGAACCCAGACAAATCTCCAATTCTGAATAAAACCACAATTAAGTCACCCACTGCTAGGATGTTGATTGTGCTCTCAATTGCCCCTTTTGTGCCACTGCAAACATTTTGATTCTATAAGCATTTAGTTGGTTAACCTATTTTGAATCCTGCAGTATCACATAATACATTTTTTCTCCAAATACTATTAAACATCCCAAGCTAAAGCTAAAGCTCAAGATCCTATATTATAAATTGTATGTACAAACCTTACGGCTTGCTCCAAGAGTTTCTTTTGGCTTTTTATTTTCCTTGAGTTCTTTTAAAGGTGTTTAAAAATGTTTCTAAAAAGTCTTTCAAGTGTTTTCATTTTTTCCTTATTCCATCTTGAGCAAGGCGAACTATAAAAATAAATTTGTCTCCAGCTTGGTTTACAGGTACACTATAGTCAGCAGTTGTTGGGAGGGAATCTCTTGACAATGTAGCAAGTGTATGAACCAGGAGCTTTTAATCAGTTGTTCTGTGTCTATCACTGGGTGTTGAAACATTTATTATTCATGAAGCCTGCTTTTGGAGAGTTCACATACTTTCTATGAGAAGGGAATCTGAAAATGCATTCCTAGTCAAAGGGCACCCTGAACTTGCTGCCCTGGTTCCCATCAAGTACCCAAACATTGACAACAGTTCTCTCTCCCACCTATTCCCTCACCAGACAGCAAACCAAGGCAAGGACTCCACTCTGTCAGAAATGGAAAGCTATTGAAGAGTTCAGGAGAAGGTAATACAACAGTGAGGCACATTATTCTATCAGTAATGTTAGGAGCAAAATTAGGAATAGAATAAGCATCAGGATGATTTGGTGAAATGATATTACAGACACCCAGGCTAGAATTACTAAGGGTTATACCAGTCAGAGTCTCAACTAGGAAAACCCAAACCACTCTAACTTTTATGAGGGGATAAATGTAATGCAGGGGATTGCTCATCTATGAGATGGAATTACTGAGGAACCAAACTGTAAGAGTCAACTACTACCACCCCTAGGCTGGAGGAAGAAAGGAGGGAGATTGTGAGGCTGCTTCATGCTTGTCTTTGTTAAAATTCCCGTTAAGGTGTCCAAGTGAAGGGACCTGGAGAGCTAACCAAAAGCTTTGTTTTGACTCTCAGAAGAGAGGTCAATGAATGGTATTAATCAGGAATGGAAATTCTGGAAGTTCTGAAGCACAGTGTGGAGAACCATTTCACTTAATGGTTACATGGAGAAAACTGAGGGAAAGAAATCAGCCAGTCACAAGAAATAAAAGTCAGGAGTAACTGATGTGAAAGAGTGAAGAGCAGTTACAGTTCTTCTATACCCAGCCATCTCTTCTCTTCCCCTTCCACCTTGTCATTAGCTTCTGCTTGACTGCCCCTGGTACTCTGAGAGAGTACAAAGCCTCCAGTTAGGGAGCGCACAAGCTCTGCTGCACCACTGGCTGTGCCAAGCCATATATATCTAGCACACCACCACCCCCTCCTCTGTACCAAACTATGCTGGAGTTATTGGTGTCTTAGCTGTCAAGGGGCTGGTTTCCTCTAACAGGTGAAACTCAGCTGGTGTTAAAGATAAGTCTGAACAAGACGATCAGACTCATCAAAGCTTTGGTGGCATGGAGGCTCTAAAAGAATCAGGGGTAGCACTAGAGCTGGAGAAATAGATTCAATGGAGGGCCTGTCAGGGGCCAGGAGATGGGAGAAAGCAGATGGGGCAGAGACTATAAAGTTCTAAAGGAAGAGGCAAGTTGACCTCAGCTGTTTGTACTATGACTCTCACTGCTCATTATTGGACTGGCTTACTGAGCATTTACTTCCACAGTGGTAATTCCATTAGAGCTCTAAGCCATGCCTAAGCCCAGATCCCCGCTAACTAAAGCAGGCTTGGCACACTAACCACCATTTCTCTGTTTCATTTGTTTTGTAACGTTTAGCAGGTATGATATAATCAAAGCTAGTTATTTTTGTATTCTAACTGTCCTCTCCTCCCTCAGTGGAAACTAAGTTCCCTTGGATACTTGTTTTTTTTTTGTCTGTCATGGGGCCTGAACTCTGGGCCTGGGCGCTGTCCTTCAGCACTTCACCTCAAGGCTAGCACTCTATTACTTGAGCCACAGCACCACATCTGTTTTTTTCTGCATATGTGGTGCTGAGGAATTGAACCCAGGGCCTCATGCATGCAAGGCAAGCACTCTACTACTGGGCCACCTTCCCGGCCCCAGCCTTGGGCTACTTCTTAATCATACTTCTTAACCATACCCTAATGAATAAGGTGATGTAGTGCCAACTTCATACTCTTTAAATAATGCTCAGAACATAAATTTGCAATGGAGTCAGCACTGTAAAGCTGGGAGAACTGTAGCCCAAGAGATAAAGTGGTAGTACTGAGGCTACAGAGTCTTATAGGAAAATCTGGAACTAGGTTCCATGCCTTCTCGTTCTCATTTCCTCTCATCTCAGTAGGGGAAAGCAGGACAAAATTTGTTTCCGGCTTTGGGATTCTATTTCTCAATTTGGCAAGTTAGACTTCTCGAGGCTACTGGTAAGACTCACAGAGTCCACCAAAAAAACCTTGAGAAAGGAGTCAAGTCTCTCAGCCTGTGAACTTTGTTGGGGGGGGGTGTCTCTACTAGAGAGAACTTGCTGATCTCAGGACCTCTTAGGCCATTCTCCTCTCAGTCACTTGTAGAGTGTCTGCCTGGTTGCTGCACT